GCCACGACGTATCAGTTAGAATATAATAAGTAAATTCGTAAATGCGTAAAATAGCGAGGAAAATGTGACAGTAACATGTAAGTATAAATAAAATTAAAAGTAGAATAGGAATTGTCAAAGAAAAGTCAACTAAGATAAATAACATTGATAGCTTTCTTAAGAGAGTCGCTATCTCGTCTCGCGTCGCGAGACCAAAACTCCCATAAACGAAATACCAGCCAAGACCTCAACTTTATCGACGCACGCCATAAGAAGTGCCCACGGTGAAAATGAAACTAGTTCTCTAAGCTGGATATAGAAGGAACGATTCCGGTTCCTCTTCCAATGTGATGTTGTTCTTCCGCGATCGCGGAATTCTTGAAACTCACCATTCGATCTCGATTCCTCGAGGAGGGCACAATCGCGTGGAAGAGATGACAGTTCATCACATTCTCAGAAGATTGTTAATAATTCTTCACGTTAACCTCGCGCTGTCCGTTGAAATGGACGGTGAGAAACGGAACAGGTTGCTTCAGCAGTTGCGCGTGCAGTGAGTAGACGATGTTAATCTTCTTTCGTTTCGACGCAGAGATGATCTCGAGCGTGGCGATGCTGGCGCAGAGGCCGACGAGGATCGTCGGGGGGAAAGACGCGGAGAAAGGGTTGCATCCCTGGCAAGTCTCGGTGCACTGGGGCGATCCACAACGAAAAATCCCATCGAGACACATCTGCGGCGGTAGTTTAGTAACAGCTGGATGGGTTTTGACCGCCGGCCACTGCAAAACTCTCGCACCGCCGGTCGGAGAGTTTCACGTTTTCGCCGGCAAGTACAAATTGGACGTTCTCGAAGAAACGGAGCAAAGCAGGCTGGTGAACAGAGTGTTCGTCCATCCGCGCTACGACGGGTGAGTTGCTCGCGTGAGTGAAAAGCTCGAAGGAAAATGTGAAATCGAATATCAATCGTACTCGGTGAAGGCATCAAACAACTGGAATAAATATCAATTCATTTGTTTTAATTTCAGGAGAGTGGGACCGTACGACATCGCATTGATGGAAGTGGAGCGGCCATTTCAGTTAAATCCTTTTGTCTCTACCGTCTCGCTGCCGTATCCGAACACCATCCCCGACGGAGAAGCAATGTTAACTGGCTGGGGAAGCATCGGCAGAACTCGCGCCCACGAGAAACCGGAGAATCTTCAGGCAGCCGTGCTGCCGATCATCGACTACGACGTGTGCAAGAGAGCGATAGCGAGGTCATTGAAACCGAAGGGGAAAAATCCTCTGCACCCGACGAATATCTGCACGGGACCTTTGAACGGCAGTTTGTCCGCTTGCAAAGTACTTTTTTCAACAATATCGAATGCACGATAATCTAGCCGTTTTCCTCAAATTTCAAGATTCTCTAGTTTCACGATGTTTGAATCATCTCGAATCGTCGAAGTGTGCAGACTTGCATCAGAAAGCCGTCGAACTTTCAAATTCTCGAAATTCAAATTCTCGCTTGCGCTTCTAAATCTCTCAAACTTTCGAATCTTGTGTCAATCTTCCCAGCGCGCAGATTGCCTGAGTTTCGATTTCGCAAAACTCGACCCGACACACTTTTTGTTTTTCAGGGCGATTCCGGGGGGCCGCTAGTGACGAGGAACGGCTTCGGCGAGGCGGAAGTAGTGGGGATCGTTTCGTGGGGTTTGTTCCCCTGCGGCGGGAAGAACGCGCCTTCCGTCTACACCAGAGTGTCCGCCTTCATCACGTGGATCGCCATAATCATGTTGAATCATTTTTAAACGACTCCGTACGAGGGAAAATGATTGTTAACGTTTGTTTTATTCAATAAATAATCGTTCGTTGATCACCGCTCGTCTTATCCGCTAAGTAATTACAGTTCAAACATTACAGACACGTCGTACATCTCGATCGGCAATCGATAGCAATTGAAGTATTCGTACAATTACGCTGCGACATAATAATTACAATGATTTGCAAGCTTCCGTGACGACCATGACCGCAGCCAACGCTTCCTTAGCTGTCGATGTTATGTAACGAGCTGGCAAAACGAAACCGTACTTCCCAGTGTCTCTCAGTTCTATCGTGTAAGCGTACTTTATTTTCAAAATAGCTTTCGCCCAGTCGTCCGAGCCGCCGGAAGCTGCGTAGAGGGTGGTAGCGCTGTTTCCAACCGTGTAAACGCTGTTGGCGCCCCCTGCTTTCCTTATCGACGCTGCCGCTTGCTTCCCGATCATTTCGAGATCGGCGTAATCGGGCGGGACGCGTTTGTCGTAGCCCCATGGATACAATATGTACTGGCCGTAACTGTGAAACGTCAGGTACGCCTAGGGAATAAAATAACATGTAATATTATGCGAATTTACTGAACGAAAAGATTGAAATTGAATTCTTTTAAGCTTGGAGATTTCCTTCGAA